AGATGGGTATGTATTTTGGTATTTTTTATGCTTTCTGATTGCCTCCAGGTAGATGTGATCAGGAAATGGGCTTCCCTTTTCACTCTTCTTCTTGAGAAATTTCAAGATGCCACTGTTGGTCATTTTGACGTAACTTAGGATTTAATTTTGACCTATTTCCTTTTTTGTCTGCTTGTCCCACTCCACAATCCCCATTAAGGCCCCTTTTCTAGTTATAAACAGTTCAGGGCCAGCTGTGGTTGTTTGGTTGTAATTGGAAACTGTCTTTAAATTTTAAGGAGATCTGTGCGCATAGGTAGTAGAACCCTCCAAGGGTGGGGCTGGGGTGCCCACTAGCTCAAGCACCCCTATAGTCACCCGAATGGAGGTGCGCAGACAGCAAGGGACCAGTGAATAGCTACCAAAAGAGAAGAATGTCCACACCTTTATTTCTGCGGTTCTGCCAGACGTCTGTGGCCACTCCAATCCTTCCCCTGCTTGGTCTCACCCAAGATGGCAGCTTCTCAAGCAGCTGAGCATCTTGAATTAGAAAGCAATGGATTTCTTGCTTCTGCCACAAATTCCCCCAGCTGTAAGCCTTCCAACCTTTTAAATTTTCCTTTATATGTGGTTCAGAGTTCTGGGACCATCCCCTGAGTCTGCTTGGTTGCAGATTCTGTGTTGTTGCTGGCGGAGCTCCTTTACTGCACTTCCACCCAATCCGCCATCTTGTTTGTTTCTCTCAGGAAGCATTTAAACAACCTAAGGGCACATTCTGCAAGTCTGTCTCCTCTGGCGTCCAGCATACAGCCTTTCTCTTTCTATGAGTCTTGAGTACTCCACTGCGCCCTCTCTCCATGTCCTCATCTCTGCCTCCATCTCTGGTGTCACTGCTTCTTTGGATAGGGTCCCATATTCTGCTCATGTTTCTCCCTTGAGAGTCCTAGGGTCCTCTGTTCCTGGAATGTAAGGTTAAGTACTACCCCCTTTATGTTACAAAACTTCTACCTTTACAGTTGTGACAATCTCAATTAATCATGATAACAGTTACTCACTATTGAATCATAAAAATCTCATCCCCATCTCCTTTCACCAGATCTGTCTAGACAAGATGAATACTATTCCTTGGGGATTCTGTCTTCTCTCGCACACTCTGAAATTATACCTCCTCTTGAAAACTTGTAAGCTAGTCACTCCGTGCCTTTACAGCTCCCCTCCTCCCCCATATTAGGTAGCCAATGTGTTAGTTGCCCATCCCTACTACAGTCACAGAGTCCTGGTGTGGTTCTGTGGGTTAATGCTCCAGACTGCAAAGTCGTTTGAACTGCAAGGTTGGTGGTTCAAGCTCACCAGCTGCTCCTCAGAAAACCTATACAGAGTCACTATGGGTTGAAATCGACTCAACAACACTTCACAACAACAACAGACAAGGGACATCAATATTCATTAACATTATTTCCCTTCTTTTACCCAATCAGACTAAGAGCAGGCTAATTTTTAAATTGATAATTTTGTATGGCCTGCAAATGATATTATAAATATTGGCAAAAGAAAAGGTTCCCTACCCCTGCTATAGGAGTCCTGATGTGGTGCTGTGGGTTAATGTGTCAGGCTGCAAAGCCGTTTGAACTGCAGGGTCGGGCGGTTCAAGCTCACCACCTGCTCCTTGGAAACTCTGTACAGGGTCACTAGGGGTCGGAATCGACTTGACAGCACTTAACAACAACAATAACAACCAACCCCCTGCTATAGGGAGAAAGATGAGGCTTTCTAGTCCTGTAAAGATTTACAGCCTTGGAAACCCTGTACAGGGTCTTTAAGAGTTGGAACTGACTCAGTGGCACTCAATAACTACGTATACACGCAGCTTTTGTGTGTGCGTGTGTTTGTGTGGGACACACACAAACATTTTCTTCCATGTCTTGTTTCTTTTCTGGAACCATATTCAGAATAACTCTATTGCTTGACCTGTTGCTGTCGAGTTGATTCTGACTCACAGTGACCCTTTAGCACAGAGTAGAACTGCCCCATAGCATTTCCGAGGCTGTAAGTCTGTACCGAAGCAGAATGCCTCACCTTTCTCCTCGGAAGTTTAAACTGCTGTCCCCTCAGTGAGCTGCCCACCACTTTAACCAGTGCACCTCCTGGGTTCCTGAGTATTACACAGTGTTGTTGTGTGCCAGCAAGTCGGTTCTGACTCAGCAGCCCTGTCTAGGGTTTTTGAGGCTGTAAATATGCACAGGAGCAGACAGCCTCATCTTTCTCCCGCTGAGTGACTGGTGAATTTGAACTGCTGGCCTGGCGATTAGCAGCACAAACTGTAACCCACTAGACCACCTCCATTCCTTTATTATTATGCAATAACTGATTTTGTCTTGATGTGGAACAGTAGAATAAGCACTGGACTGTTAATCATAAGGTTGCTGGTTTAAACCCACCAACTGCTCCCAGAAAACTCATAGTCAGTTGCTCTGAATCAAAATCAACTCAGTGGCACTTAACAACAATAGCAACATATGTACGCATTATCAGGGACACGGTTAGAATGACTTTGTAAGATTTTGTCTTTGTGCCAAAAAATGAGGCTTATGTTAGCTTCCGCACAAAATACCACACACTGTGTAACTTCCAGCAACAGCTGTATACTGTCTCCCAGTTCTGGAGGCTGAGGGGTCTGGATTCAGGTGTCAGCAGGGCCACAGGGCCGCATGGTCTCCGAACGTTCTAGGGGAAGATCCTTGTGTCTCCTGGCTTCAGGGAGCTCCAGCATCCCTTGGCTTGTGGCTGCTGCCTTTGCCTCCCCATTGCCCTCTTCCCTCTGCATCCGTCTGCATCTCTCCTCTTGTTCAAGGTCAACAGTCAGAGTAGATTAAGGCACCTTACTCTGGAAAAACCTCCTGTCAACTGTCACATCTGTCTAGACCCTCTTATTTCCAAACAGGGTGACATTTACAGGGACCAGTAGGTAGGACTTCAGCATATCTTCTTGGGGGACCCAGTCAACCCTTAGAAGAACCTCACATTTGAATTTTTTAAAAAAGCTTATTTTTTGGAGATTGTAAGGAATTTTCTTAACAAATTATTGCTTTGATCTCAGATTTTTTTCCAATCAGTTTTTTCATACAATTGCTTTAGTTTTCATTATGTGGTATTTTTATGTTACTTAGATTCGTGCTTATCATACTTCTTCTCCAAGGGAAGAGAATTGCAGTTTTATATCAAGAAGAGCACCCACACAGGCCTCCACTGAGACTTCGATCTGTTTCACAAATGCAGACCCACCGAGCTTTATTGTGCTCTGCAGATAATTGCGTTTTGTTTCAAATGGAAGGTCTGTGGCCACCCTGCATTGGGCAAGTCTAGCAGTGCCTTTCTTCATTTAGCTTGCTCTGTGTCTCTGTCCCATTTTGGTCATTCTCGCAGTATTTCAGCCTTTTTAAATAGGCGGCAGTATTGTATAGACATCATTTTTATGTGTATGGTGACTTGCTTCATTGTGACATTTGTATTACTCTGGTGACGTGGAATGGAACCCGTACTATCCCCGAGGCACACTTAGACTTTTGTACCTGTTAGGCATCTATTCGTGGCCTTACACCTCAGAATTGTTTGGCTCTGGAAGGTGAGGCCCACATGGCATTAGTGAGACTAAGAGCCAGGCTATATGGACCTGGGTTGTGTCTTAGCAAGAAGCTGTGGAGCTTCTCTGAACCTCAGTTTTCTTGTTTGAAAAATGGTAGCAATGATTACCTCGTACTCTTGGTAAGGATGAAGGAACAGTGGTGGGAAAGTGTTTGGGATGGTGCCTTGAACAGATGGTAGAGCTTGTTCTCCATGCTGCTAGAACGTGGAAACCTGTTGTCCCAGCGTGATTGCTAATAGCGCCACTGTGTAGACACGCAAGGAAACCACAGAAGAATTCATGCATCTGAATTATGGTGTTGGAGGAGAATATAGAAAGTACCATGGACTACCAGAAGAACAAACAAATCTGTGTTGGAAGAAGTACAGCCAGACTACTCCTTGGAAACCAGGATGGTGAGACTTCGTCTCTCATATTTCAGACATGTTATTAGGAGGGACCAGTCCCTGGAGAAGGACATCATGCTTAGTAAAGTGGTGGGTCAGCGAAAAGAGGAAGACCCCAATGAGATTGGTTGGCACAGTGGCAGCAGCACTGGACTCAAGCATAGCAATTACAAGGATGGTGCAGGGTCAGGCAGTGGTTTTGTTCTGTTGTGCATAGGATCTCTGAGTCGGAACCTACAGTAACAACAGATGCTCAAAAGTGTCCCAATTTGGATAGACTATATAGTCGTGGTGTAGCACTGTAGGATTAGCACTGGACTGCTAACCATAAGATTGGCAGATCAATCCCATCAGATGCTTCTTGGAAACCCTATACAGTGTCGCTGTGAGTTGGAACCTACTTGAAGGCACTTAACAACAGCAACAACATATGATCACCCTAGTTAGAAACTAGTAGCGTCTTTAATCCCTAGGAAGTCTCAGAAGCCAGTCTGGGGTCTTCTGCCAGGCTTTCCACCCCTTACGTTGTCACTTCGATATCACTCATCTGTTACAAATAGAAAAGGTCAGGGTGGGACTGCTTACTGTGCAGCTGTGTGCTCTGCTTGCTGGACATTAATGGAGAGCTAGCTTGTGACCTCCAAGAAGGCCAGTGCCCAGTTGCAATCCTTTCTGTATTTCAGGAACCATCTGTAACCCTGGACCACGGAAATCGATGTCTAAGCTGCTCTACATCCGGCTAGCGCTCTTTCTGCCAGAGGTGGTCTGGGCATCTCTGGGGGCCACCTGGATAGCAGATGGAGTGGACTGTGACAAGACTGTTGTGAACGGCATCATTGCCACTGTCATTATCAGGTGAGGCTTTCCCTCATGTCACAAATACATTTGAGATGTCAGCAACACACCTTCCTGAGGAGCTCAGCTCAACTCAGCCATGCAGCTCCCCTCAAACGGCTAGAAGCCCGATTCTCTGAGTAAATCCAGAGGGTTTACAGAGATGCGCCTTTCTTTATTTGAGGGGACTTCAGAAAGTTTGTGGAAATACAATGAAAAGATACTGGAATTTTTCTATGAGCTTTGTGGAGTTTCCTTGTGCTTAAGAAAGAACCCATGTTGCTCTCACACGTGTTGTTGTGGTGTGCTCCCCAACCAATTCTCACTGGTCTGCACTCCCTACTTATGAGAAGCAGGAAAAGCTGAAGACCAAAACATGGTTTAAGCCTTTTCCAGAGATTTAGTGACATTCTTGTGTTATAAGACTCCGCATGTCTCCTGCCTTCCGTGGCACATGCATTCATGAGGTTGCGGTGCTTCCCCATCCAGGGTAGTCGGTAAACACAGGCAGACCGTGGAGATATTGCAGGTGTGGTTCCAGACCACCATGATGAAGCAGAGATCCCAACCCTGCAAGTCCCTTGCATTTTGCTGTCCCTGTGCATAGAAAAGTGATGTTGACACTAGATAGTGTGTGATAGTATGAGAAGAAAAGTGCGAAGTATCGTGAGCATGACCAAAGCAGGATATGGAGACACCAAGCGAGCACTTATGTTGTTGGGGAGATGGCACCAGTAGACGTGTTCAACTCAGAGTGGCCACAAACCTTCAATTTGTAAAACACCAAAATCTCTGCAAAGCGCGGTCCACCAAATCTGCCTGTAGCTGAGCATAAGGACAAAAGCTCTTCGGAATAGCCTGTGAGATGGCGATATTCTCTTGGTTTTAACAAGAGTTCCTGTATCCAAACAGGCCCTTCTTTCTTTTGTGGGCCTTGCCATTTACAGTTCTGCTTTTCACGGGGCCTGAGTTAGTTGTGGACATTTGAGGAACTTTCTAGAAGAAACGAGTGGCTTGCTTCATCCAGGTTCTAGGATATCCACAGCCCTCCTCAGGAACTGGATCCTCCATGGTGAATGTGCTAACAATGAGCTCCAAGGAGGGTGGTTTGGGCTCTAGGCACCTGCGTGTGGGCCCCTGCTCACCATTCCTCTCTCTGTTTTCCAGTTGGATCATCATTGTCTCTACTCTGGTCACCATTTTCATTGTCTTTGACCCACTGGGGGGCAAGATGGCCCCCTATTCCTGTGCTGGCCCCAGCCACCTGGATAGTCATGACTCAAGCCAGTTATTGCATGGCCTCAGGACAGCGGCTACAAGTCTGTGGGAGACCAGAATCAAGCTTCTGTGCTGCTGCGTGGGGGACGATGACCACACTCGAGTTGCTTTTTCGAGTACGGCAGAGCTTTTCTCAACCTACTTTTCAGTAAGCCAGAGGGCTCTGCTGGGGTCTCTTTCTCCTGTTGAAGGAAATGCCTCTTGTGTGAAGATGTGTGCACTGCCCCGAGTCAGGCCCCCGTTCACAGAAAACCCCGCGTGAGCACTTGTGGTCTTGAGGTTGGTGGGGGGTGATTGGAGGTCTTCCACCAGGGATGGTTTCTCTGGGAGCAAATGTACATTTTCAGATGCCCCCCTTTCTGGTTGGTGCATCTTGTTTATTATACTGTGAGGCTTTTGTGTTTGCTCTGAATGAATAAAATAAAGCAATGGAGTGCAGTGGAGTGAGCATCTTCACCACAGTGTCGGTGAGGGAACAGTGAGGCCATCAGCTCCACAAAGATTCACTGTCTCAGAAACCCTGCAGGGCAGCTCTACTCTGTTCTATGAGTCGGATTCGACTTGATAGCAGTGGACTTCGTACACGAGAGCAAGCCCTGGTAGTGTAATGGTTAAAGTGCTTAGCTGCTAACCCAACGTTGCTGGTCCAAACTCACTAGCAGCCACTCCTCAGGAGAAAGATGTGGCAGTCTGCTGCCATTGAGATTCACAGCCTTGGAAATGACATGGGGCAGTTCTGCCTGTAAGGTCTCTGTGAGTCAGATTCCACTCAGTACCTGTTGGGTGGGTCTCTGGTACATTTTGGGAGCCAGTTGCCTCCTGCGTCCAATTGGTTGGTGCTTAGCAGATACAGGCGTGGGCAGTGTCACTGTGCACCCAAGGTCGTATTGGACAGTGTCCTCTTAGGACTCTATTACATTAGAAATGACGGCATGTTCTGTTTCTAAAGGAGAGCGTGACTCTGTTGTTGCGGTGCAGAAGCATGGCATCATCCGATAGCAAATGCTCTGGTGGTGTGGAGTGCTCTTGTCTCTCACTCCCAGCATGTGACTGGGTCTTTGCCATTGTGTTCTCTGGACGGCTGCTCTTGGCTTCAGTGTGAAGAAGAAGGAAGGTCAAGCAGAGTTCTGACATCCTGTACACCTGCCTGAGTCTCTGTCTCCGTGTCTGGTACCATCTGGCTTCACACCATCCAGGGCTGATCCTGTAACCCAACACTAGGCTACAGGCCAAAGCCCATAGCCCCCAGTTGGGATCAGAGAAGTGTGACCTAGAAATGACATCCAATAAGGGCTATGACTTCCTCTTTAGAGCATTCAGAAGAAGGATGAAGAACAAGGCACAGTCCTCTCTAGTGAGTTCAAGGTTGGTGGGTGTGGCTCAGAGTTGAAGTCAAAGGACAAGGACAGGCTCAAAGGCAACCTCAGGAGGACTAACTCCGTTGTTCCGTTTGTCTTGGGATTCTGTTTGGGGCTTGCTGCACCAATCTCATCAGTGCCTGCCACAGACTCTGCTTCAATGAAACCTTTCTAGAATCTTGAGAAAGGAGAGTATAAATGTGGGTTCAAATTGGCTGTGACTATACAGAAGGAGGTTTCTCCATTTAGTCCCTGATCTTACAGAGGATTTGAAGGAGGTTAAATATAGCCAAGTCACATGAAGTGAAATTTTAAGAGATCAGCTCATTGTAAGTTCTCCAAAGGGTTTGTAAGGAGGCCTGATGGTGCCATGGGCTAAGCACTGAACTGTTCATCGCAAGGCTGGCAAGCTGCCCCACGGGAGGAAGATGAGGCTGGGTACTTCTAGAAAGATTTGCAGCCTCGAAAACTCTCTGGGGCATTCTCCTCTGTCCTGTAGGGTCTCTAGAAGTTGGAATCGACTTGACAGCAGTGTGTTTGTTTTTCTTTAGTGGATTTGTATGAGGGAGAGAGAGTTAAAAAATAAAAAAACACTAATATGTAGAAGGGGTCTTTTAAAGACGTGCATTTAAAAAAATTCCTTTGTTCATATATGTGCATTGGTGTGTGTGTGTGTGTGTGAACTCTATAACAGTGAATTTTCTGGAACATGTTGGTAGTTTCTGATGGGTTTTTTGATGAGCCCTTGTGGTTTCCCATCCAGGACACGGACCTGGTGCCCAGCGACATCGCGGCGGGTCTCACCCTTCTCCATCAGCAGCAGGATAACATCCGAAATAAACAAGAGCCTGATGAGGTGGTCACCCATTCCCCAGGGGCCTCCCAGGTAAGCCCCCACTTCTGGTAGATCAACACCTGCCTATCGATTTCCAGAAGTCTGCAACTGGCAAGCAGTGATTTCAGTGGCACCTGGCTCCTGTGGGTTGTAATTGGTCACCTGAGGCTGAAGCATCTCCCCTTGCCTGGGGTTCAGGTAGCGGAGCACGTTCCTGCCCCTTTCATGGTGTCTTCACAGCATTCTCAGTGAAGAAGTTGTTAGTTGGATGCTACATATCAGAAAAATGCCCCCTGGGAGGGGCCTGGGTCTCCCAGGGTATGTTGACTGTCTTCCCCTGAGCCCAGGAAGAGGAACTGTTGAGGTTTGTCAAGTGTTTGCTTGGATGCTTCGGAAACAGAAAATTGCTCAGAGACTGCGTGTCTTTTCCTGCCTCTTATTAGAACCCCCGGTCATACACCTTAGGGCAGGAAATCCCCAACGTATTTCCCCAGGAGTCAGAAAGTGCCATTAGGTATCCCTGCTGCATTGTCATCTCAGCCTGCGTTCAAGGTCCCACTTATCCTGTGGACATCATCTGAGAGGCCTGTCCCTTGAGTGGAGACTCAGGAATTAGAGTTCAGATTGTAGTTTATCTGTCTTCTCTGTGATGTCATTAGGAGCTGTTGAGTTGGCTCTGACTCACAGAGACCCCATGCACAACAACAAAACACTGCCCGGCCCTGCACCATCCTCACAGTCATTGCTATGTTTGAGCCCATTGTTGCAGCCACTGTCTCAGTCCATCTCACTGAGGGTCTTCCTCTTTTTCACTGACCTTCCCCACTTTACTAAGCAAGACATTCTTCTCTAGGGACTGGTCTCTTCTGATAACGTGTCGAAGTACATGAGGTGAAGTGTGGCCATCCTCACATCTAAGGAATGTTGTTGTTTTTAAGTGTTGTTGAGTCGGTTCCGATCCCTAGCAACCCTGTATAAGGTTTCCAAGGAGCAGCTGGTGAGCTTGAACCGCTGACCTTGCATTTCAAACAGCTTTGCAGTCTGGCGCATTAACCCACAGCGCCACACCAGGACTCTACTTCTAAGGAATAGGGTCCCTTAAACACAAAGCTTTTCCCTTGTCTTCCAGGAAGCGGATTTGGATGCAGAATTAGAGAATTGCCGTCACTACATGCAGTTTGCAGCCGCTGCCTATGGTTGGCCGCTCTACGTCTACCGAAACCCCTTCACAGGGCTCTGCAAGATTGGTGGGGATTGGTAGGTAGAGACACTCAGACATTCATCTGCCTCCTAGATGTGCTTGCTGGGGTGACTGCTTTTCCTTCTGAAGAAAACTTAGGAAACTATTTTTAAAAAAAGAGAAAGAAGAACTTTCTATTTTGAAGTAGTTCAAAGAATTCTAAGAATAGTACGGGGAACTCCCACATGTGTCCTTTCTCCAGAGTTAAAGGTTGACTCATTCTTGTCACATATGCCACGTCACTCACTCTGGAGATAATTTCGTTTTCCCCTGCACCATTAGAGTTTTGATGCAGATAATCATGCCCTTTATCCATAACTGCTTCCACACGAATTTCCTAAATACAAGGACATTCTCACACCTAGAGAGCAGTTGTAAAACCCTGGAAAGTTAGCAGCGATCACTAGCTAGTGTATTGTTCTTTATGCAGACTTTTTTCCAGTTGTCCCAATAGTGTCCTTTATAGCAAGTTTTCATTCAATCCAGGATTACACATTACGTTGAACTGTCGTATCTTCTTGGTCTCCTCCAATTTGGAACAGCCCTTCAGACAGTCTTTCTCTTTGTTGCTGTTGACATTGTGAAGAGTGCAGCCTAGCTCCTATGTGGAATGCCCACCGTTTGCTCTTGTCTGGGGGTTTTCTCGTGATTAGAGTCAAGGCAGGCAGTCTGGGCAGAAATGCTCTACAAGGAGTGTGTGTCCTCCTTCGTGTGTCGTGTCTGGAGATGCACAATGGCTAAATAAAGTAAGCAGCTGTGAATCCACGCTGATCATTTGGTTAAGATGCCTGCCTGCTTTCTCTACACAAGACTTGTGTCTCTTCCCTTGTAAAGAAGAAGCTGTCTTTGAGGAGCTACTTTAAAACCATGTGACAGTCCTGTTCTTTAAACTTTCATCCAATAGTTTTAGCATCCCTCAGTGATTCTTGTCTGAATCCCATTAGTATTAGGATAGTTACAAAGTGGTGGGGTTTTTTTCCTAATGCCGTCAGTTCTTTAATGTTGTAAAGAAGATCTTTCAAGATCAAAAGGGTAACATTTGCCCAGGGAGAATGCTCCGAAGGCAGGAAGGGACAGGAAAGAGATGAAGGAGAACAGGAACCCCAGGGAGGAAGTGAGAAGAGTGTTGCTACATTGTAGGGATTGCTGTCAGTGTCACCAAACAGAAGGCGTGTTTTTAAGTTGTTGAGCAGAAAACCAATTTGTTATCTAAACATTCACCCAAATCACAAAGTTAAGAACAAAAAAGAGCTTTTCCTCCCTTGGTAATTAGTATCAGTGTGAATTCATAGCTTCTTACTTTGTTAAATGGGTTGTAACTTATTGTTGTTCATTTTGTGACAATACTTATTTCATGTCCCACAAACTGGATGCCATGTCTTTTTGATGTGTTCCAAACATCTTTTGAGAGCTTCCTTGTATTTTAACATAACATGATGTTACAGAGATCACTAAGCCTGTTGTATTTTCCCTGAAATTGCTTCTCTAAGGTCTACGCTTTGTTTAGTGTGGAGAAAGCAAAACTTGAGTGGCCTGTGCACCCATGCTTCTGGGCAGTGAACAGAGTTGGGGGAAACAGTTACGGTGTCTTCAGATTGTACTTATTTTTAAAGTTGTAAATTTAAAGTGATGCCTTTCCATCTCGATGAGAGTCTCAGTCTAGTCTTGCATTCTCCCATAGTGTGTCTCCGCTTCCTCCCACCAGGTGGACCTAGCACCCTACAGCAGCAGAGCACGGTCCTCATGCTCAGCCCTGAATACTCACAGAGGAGTTTCAGAACTGCTGTAGCCACATGACTACCAAAAGCTACAGGGGGCTTCATAGTGTTGGAGCTTCTTCGTTTGCAGTTCTTTCTGTGTTTAGACACGCATTCTAAAGCTACTTGGGTTAGTTCTTTTTCATTTGTTTATTTTTTCAGTGCAGTTTTGCTTGCCATCCTTTGAAATGGTTTGATTTATTTACATCTGTTGGCATCCAGTTCTAGGGTCTTGCCCATTCCTTGTTGATAAAATTTACTTTTTGGATGTGTAAAACATTAACAAGACTCCAGAAACAAAATGCTGACAAAAGGTACATATTGAAAAATACAAGAGGCTTTAAGAAGTTTGTGGAAGAATTCCTTTATCTTTTCATTCCATTTTCCCACGAGCTGTTTGAAACCCCCTTGTATTTGTCTGTTAGTCAGATTGAGTCCTTGTCCTTGTGTTTGCTGGGGAACCATGATGGTGAGGTTGGTCAGTAGCTCTTCCGCCCCCCTTTTTTCAGTTGCAGAAGCAGAACCACTGAATACGAGTTGGTTGGAGGTGATCAACTGAACTGTCATTTTGGCTCCATCCTGCACACGACGGGGCTGCAGTACCGAGATTTCATCCACATAAGCTTCCATGACAAGGTATGCAAGAGGCGTAACATGTTCAGTACTTTTCCCGTTCTGTTTAGAATCAGACATTGGTTCTTCCCTCAGATCCTTATAGTCCATTGAAATTCTGATGCAATTTATAAAGTGTTCCCCCAGAGAAATGTGCATAACCATACATACACAAACACACACCCTGAGGTTTACTTGTGACTTTGGGCCCACCCATGTCCATGGATCCATATTGACCCAAGTTTAACCTAAGAGAGAACAAAACCTCGGTGATTGCTAAGTCAGTTGGCCTAACATAGCATAGTCCACAAAGTCAGTGTTGTACATAGTTGTGATGAGCAGCAACTGGGGTTTTAGAAACTAGTGAGTGAGGGGGTAAGATAGAATCCCCACTGAATAGTTTTCCTCTTACCCAGATGGGTCTCTGGTGATGATGGGGATGGGATTTTGTCATTCATTTGTGAGTAATTGTTTTCAGGACTAATGACGGTGGTCATAACTGTAAATGTAGACGAGGTGAAACCAAAGTGGGGAGCAGTGAACCTGTCATTTCAGAAACAGAGGACCCTAGGACCATCAAAAGGGAAGAGCATGAGAGGAGCGAGGGATCGTAACCAGGAAAATGGTGACAACAGAGATGGTGGCAGAGGTGATGGCATAGAGAGACAGAGCAGCAGAGGACTCCAGGTCCATGGACTGAGAAAGGCAGTGTGCCTGCAGGCAGGAGGCACATTTAAATGAATGGACATTTAAATGAGTAACATATTTTCAGCGTATTTGATGTGGTATGTGCACATCAAAAAAAAAAAAAAGAGGGGGTGGGTAATAGAGGTCAATACTGTCAGCTGATGGTACATGGATGGGACTGTAAGTACTGCAATGATTGGATGAATATAAAACTGGTGATCTGCCCTGTAGACCTTCACTCAATTCATAGTAAACTGGTGATCTGCCCTGTAGACCTTCACTCAATTCATAGTAAA